TCTTTCTTTTTTTTTGTAGTAGAGATGAGGTCTTGCTCTTGCTCAGGCTGGTCTTGAACTCCTAAGCTCAAGCAATCTACCCCCTCAGTCTCCCAGAGTGCTGAGATTACAGGCATGAGCCACTGCACCCAACCAGGACCTCCATTTGTTACACGGACAAAGAAACATCCCAAATCCTCAGTCAGTAAATGGCAAACTCAGGCCCCTCTGACTTGAGGCTGGCTCTCCACCCTACACAAACTCTGAACAGCACCACTAGGAAGCCTGAGCATGAAGGTCCAGGCATGTCATACCCCAAAGCTCTGGCCACTAAGTCCTGTGGGGGAGGAACCATGAGTGGTTCACAGGGTTAGCCCCTGTGTTAAACTGAGACGGCTACAAAACCTTCAGACTGGAGAGGAAACCCGCCAGTGACTGAAGAGGCCCAGTGACTGAAGAGGCGTGAATGTCCCAGAAGATACCTGGTGAGCACACTGGAGGTGGAAGGCTGAGCAGGCCCACACAATCAGGGACAGCAGTCACGCGGGGCACAGAGGCCAGGGCAGCATGCCAAGGTCCCTGCGTTGGGCAGCAAGGAGCTGGTGATTCTGAGACTGGGCCCCAGAGAAAAGCCCACCAAGGCTCCAACTGGGCCACCTGGCCACCACCTAGAAATGCTTTGGCAACGCTGCCACCTGGTGGCTGTGGGACGTCCGCCCATGAGGGAAATCTGCAGCCAGTTCCGTTTGCAGGTTGGTTCTTCAGCAGCCACTTACTGAGCACCTGATATGGGTCTGGCAGGGCTAGACCTTCAAGGATCTCGGCCCCTTATATCCAGACATTGGCCAAGTCCTCCCCTTTTTACCTTGCTCTGTGCATAGTATCTTGTGTCTCCACCCAAACAAGACTGGGAGGAAATGATGGCATCTTACTCATCTCTGAAGCTATAGTACCCATAGGCCCAGTGCAACTGAATAATAATAGCAGCTATTTAATACGTGCTTCAAGCTTTTATTTTATTTGAGAGACAGAGTCTCACTCTGACACCAAGGCTAGAGTGCAGTGGCACAATCATAACTCATTACATCCTCAGACCCCTAGGCCTCCAGAGTACTTGGGTCTATAGGTACACAGCACTGGACTTGGCTAATTTTTTTTTTCTTTAGGTAGAGATGGTGTCTTGCTATGTTGCCTTTGCTAGTTCTGAACTCTGGCCTCAAGTGATCCTCCCACCTTGGCCTCCCAAAGTCCTGGGATTATAAACCCCAGCTGCCCCGCCCAGCCTCGTGCTTTTGAATACGTCAGCACCTTAGATTCTCACATTTCACCTTTGAGGTGCCTAGGAGACCTCCAAACAGAATGTCAAGTAGGAGTTTACTTCAATACAAGCCTGGAGTTCTTGGAGTGGTCAGGGATGGAGAAGTAAAGGCAGTGTCTCCAGCACACAGACAGTATATTTTAAAGCCCAGTGACTCTCAAAATTTAATGTGCATATGGGTTACCAGGAGATTTTGCCAAAATGCAGACAATAATTCTGTAGTCTGGAGTAGCCTGAGATTCCGCTTCTAACAAGCTCCTAGGTGGTGCCCATATTGCCAGCCCACAGACCCCACTTTGAATACTAAAAATTTGGAAGAGGGGTTAATAAACTGTGAGCAGCAGGTCAAACTGGCTCATGTCCTGTGTTTGTACAACCAGCAAGCCAAGAGTGATATTTTCATTTTTAAAGGGGCTGAGAGAAAGAAAATGAAAGAGAAGGAAGGAGGAGGATAAAGAAGGGGGAGAAGGAAGAAGGGAGAAGATAGAGAAGAAAAGGAGACAGAGACTATTTGTGCCCCACAGGGCCTACAATATTTACTCTTTGGGTCTTTGCAGAAAATGTTTGCAAACTCCGATCTAAAACATCACCCAGGGACAGGGTGTTTAGCTAAATGAGGGAGAAAGGAGTACCAGGTCCTAAAGCAAACGGTTGTGACTTCTAAATCCCCACACCTGCTTGGCAGGAAACATCAGAGTGCAAAGCACCCCATGCATGGTTGGCCCTCTGTATCTGCTGGTTTCACATCTGTGGATTCAAATAACCATAGACTGAAAATATTCAGGGAAAAAATGGATGGGTGCATCTGTACTGAACATGTATAGGTTTTTCTTGTCATTACTTTCTCCTAAACAATACAGTAGGACAATAATTTATGCAGCATTTACATTCTATTAGGTAGTAATCTAGAGATGATTTAAAGTCTACAGGAGTACGTGCATAGGTTATATGCAAACACTACAACATTTTATACAAGGCACATACTTGATTGTGGTATCAGCTGGGGGTCTTGGCTGGACCCAATCCCCCGTGGATGCCATGGGACAAGTACATGCTAAGGGGCAGGAAAAATTGAGTTAACTGTTGAGGCTCCAGGTGGGGCTGGTCCTACAGAAGGGGTTCTGAAGACATCTGCAGTTCTAAATGGGAAAAAGGACCATAAATGACTGTCTCCCTCATGTGTTGATCTTGAAACAAAGAGGGTAGGGACCACCATCACTGGTGTGCCTTGTTACAGAAGTCCTGGGGAAATAAGATAAAAAGGAAAGCCAGGGAATACCACAGAATTGTCCTGTACGCAGAACCTTCTGAATTTTCCCCAAGGATGGGGAGAGTGGGTAGAAAGATTGGGGAAGGTGCAGGAAAGCATGTGACAGCAAAATAATGGCCCCAGAGCCTGCAGTGTAGGGATACCCCAAGTCAAAGTGCCTCCTGTCATGCTTCTGCCACCCTGAGTTGAGGAATATATTTGCTTAAATGTCAGTGCCTAAGAAAGTAAATACAGCTGTCCACTTCCATCAACTTAAACCAATTAATTTGGCTGTTTCAATGGAGGGTCAGGCTGTTTTGCTTTAAACTGTGAAAGGTTTGCTTGCCTCACCATCAAGTAAGTGTTCACATACTTTCCAAAGGACAATAGCACCCTTTCATGGGGTTCAGGAAAGACTATCTATCAAAAGACTATGTGGCAGGATGTCTGTAAAGCCAAACTGTTCTCTAATGCTGGAGGGCAAACAAGACAATGAAGATATGAGGGAGCCAATAAATGTTATAAAACAGATCCCAGAATTTCCTGGTTGGCAGGAAATATTAAGGTCAACCAGTCTCCCTACAAAAGCTAACCATCCAAGAAAACACATGCCATGCCTGGCTTTTAGCATGGACTATCATTTCTTCCTTTTAATAAATTAAAAAATACTTGGGACCAAAGACAAATCTCTGCCTCTTAGCCCATGAATGCCTGCCCTTCCCAAGTCCCTCTCCCTTTGTAGCTGGAGTGCCACAACCAGGAGCAGGAGCCAAACACTTGTGAATCAAAGTTGTTCTGTATTACCAAGACTCAGAATCCCAGGAAGACAGGGAGATCATTCTCAAAGCCTGCCTTACTTTGAGAGTTTCATAGAGTTCTTATACCCTCCCCAAAGTCATTATTTTTAGCTACAAATCATCCAGCCCTCTGATATCTAGCTGTTAAGACTCTGTTGCATTTCTGATCTGTACATGTTTCACCTGCTGTTTATTCAGCCCACGGTGGTAATGGGGAACCAAGTGTTGGAACCAAGACTGGCAGATAGGATTAGCCGACAACTAGTCAGACCATAATATAACTTTTACAGCTAAGGGGTGGGGGCTGTATCGCCTCTTACACCTTGATCATAGTATTTATCTCCTGCATTAAGAAGTAGGTGCCTTCAGGCTCGGCGCCTATAGCTCAACCGGCTAAGGCGCCAGCCACGTACACCTAAGGTGGCGGGTTCGAATCCCCAGCCTGGACCCGCCAAACAACAATGACGGCTGCAACCAAAAAATAGCCGGGCGTTGTGGCGGGCGCCTGTGGTCCCAGCTACTTGGGAGGCGGAGGCAGGAGACTCGCTTGAGCCCAGGAGTTGGAGGTTGCTGTGAGCTGTAATGCCACGGCACTCTACCCAGGGGGACAGCTTGAGGCTCTGTCTCAAAAAAAAAAAAAAAAAAGTAGGTGCCTTCAGAAAAGTGACTGATCTTTGCAGCACCCAGCATGCTGGTTGGTCCATACTATAAGAGTGTGCTGAGCAAGAGCCCAGTCTACTGAAAGACCTTGGTTTTCCTGCCACCTACTGGCTGTGACTTTAGACAAGTTACTTAGCCTTTTCAAACCTATTTCTAGCTGAGCTGGTGGCACACTGCCTATAGTAACAGCACTTCGGGAGGCTCAGGCCGGAAAACTGCTTGAGGCCAGGAACACAAAACCAGCCTGAGCAACATATCAAGACTCTATCTCTACAAAAAAAAATGTTTTAAGTTTTCAGGCATAATGGTGGCACATGCCTATAGTCCCAGTTACTCAGGAGGCTGAGGCAAGAGGATCACTTGAGCCCAGAAGTTCAAGGCTGCAGTGAACTATGATGATGCCATCGCACTCTAGTCTGGGCCACAGAGCAAGACTTTGGCTCTAAAAAATTAAAATTAAAACAACCTCCCCCACATTGTTTCCTCACCTGTACAAGTCCTCTCACAATAGGGCTGTGCTGAGGATTAAATGTGTTAATACATGCAGAATACTTGTAATGGTGGCCAGCACAGTAATACAAATTTAACAAGCGTTGACAATTATTTTCATCTAATTAGTAGATGAACCTATTATTCTAACCTATGAATCATACTCTCTCCCCCAAACATACTGCACCACAACGGGGCTTCTCAACCTTGGAACTATTGATGTGTCTTTGTTGTAGGGGCCTGTCCTGGACAGTGTAGGATGTTTAGCAGAATCCCTGGCCTCTACCCACTAGATGCCAGAAGTACCCATGTGCCCTCTGCCCTCTCTCCTCCCTACTCACCTTGCAGTTCTAACAACCAAAAATGCCTTCAGAGATCACCAAATGTCTCCTGTGGGGGAAATGCTTCCCTCCTTCATTGAGAACTATTGTATGGAGAGTCTGGTCCCCCCATACTCTCTAATTCCCTAACATCCCATTCTCCCCACAGGCAGCCACCACTTGCTCACCACTCAGTTGTCTTGGAGGGAACAGGTGATAGGTGCTGTAGATATCATTGGAGAACTGCAAATGGAGCTCAGGGCTGCCTGTCAGGAGCTGGGCCACCTGTTCCACCTGAAATGGTGTCTTCTCCAGGATGACAATTGCATCCTCTCCATCCTCATCCCCTGAAGACTCATTCACCTGTGGGCGAAGGCATCATCAGTGGGCTTAGAAACAGAGCTACAAGTGAGGCCCAAAGAGCAAAGGCAGAAGATCCCAGGGGTTCTGTAGTCCCAGCACTAGAAATTTCCTTCCCTGCAGTCTTCCTTCTAGGGAAGTCTAGCCAATGGCACTCATATTTCTTCCCTTAGAGAAGGCACCTCAACCCAAATTCCTGTGGCAGCTCTCGCATTTTTCTTCCAAAAGATGCAAAGCTTCTCACCTATCTTTTATTTCAGGCTTGCAAGACCTCCATCAAATTGTCCCCATTTTAGAAGAAAAGATGAAAAAAATGAGGTTTTGAGATATTGAGCTATCCAAGGTCACAGGGTCATTGCTGAAACAGGAACTAGTATCTGGGTCTCCCAAATAATTCCTAGCAGGAAGATGCTCATGACTAACGTCCTTTGGTGCTGCACACTGAAGACAGTGGGGCAGAGAAAATGAGACAGACCCTTGTAAAAAACAAGACACACAGAGAGAGGGATGGTAGCCTAGGCCCAGGTCCCTGCAACCCTCCCAAAGGTGAGAGCTTCAGCTGGCTTCTGGGAAGCACCATGCCTGCCCTGGCTAGGCCCCCCTACTAGTTCCTGGGATGGTTTCCATCTATCATCTGCACCTGCCAGAGAACCAGAGCCAGCAGTGTGTCTCTGTCTCCCGAGATACTCTGCAATCTTGACGATCAGGAATGGTAACTCATCTCTAGACCTCCAGAACTTAGATCAGAGGACGGCATCCAAGAATGCGCATATGTGGATTGAATTAACAGTTTCATCACTTAAATCGTGTAAAGCAAAGCTGGTATCCCCTGCAGTCTGTCGTTTCTAAGGACAGCGACCAGCAAGGCACCCAACAACAATTACTTAAATGGCTGGTGGCGCCAGTAGCTCAATTGGTAGGGCGACGGTCATATACACCGAGGCTGTTGGGTTGGAAGCGGCCCAGGCCTGCCAAACAACAATGATAACGGCAACAAAAAAATAGCCGGGCGTTGTGACAGCCACCTGTAGTCCCAGCTACTTGGGAGGCTGAGTCAAGAGACTCGCTTAAGTCCAAGAGTCTGAGGTTGCTGTGAGCTGTGACACGACAGCACTCTACCCAGGGCGACATAGTGAGACTCTGTCTCAAAAAAAAAAAAAAATTTACTGAATGATGATAAAATATTGAATCAACGACAATAGCATGGCTTAGAGAATTTAACATGTGGTTTGTAATCCGCAATACATTGTACAGGTATAAGTAGATACTTTTCGTGAGTTAAAAATTAGAAAAAATTAGACCTCGGTGTTAATTCCACGGGTAATCTTGTCTCCTCTTACCGCGCCCCCCCCCCCGCCACCTCAGGCCTTCCAGTGGTGCATCCCGCCTCCCCCAAGTAATGCAATGGTATCTTCCGGCTAAGAGCCAGAGAAATTCACCTCCGCAGAAATGATTGGTTCCCTCCTTCCTGCGTCCCCGCGCGGGGACTGCCGTACCTTCCCGTGTAGGAAAATGATTTTGTCCCGCGCAGACTCCCTCAGCACTTTTTGCACTCTAAAGCCGGAGAACGGTAGGCGGGCAGTGACAGCGCTACCGTTCCCAACGCCAGCTCCTGTTTCCTCTCTGCATGGGGCCTCCGGGGCGGCCTCCGCAACCAGCTCACGCTTCCTCTTACTAGGCAGCGGCGCGGCATCCGCCATGCTGCGGACAGACGGTGTGCGCCTGCGTGCCCCGGCCACCGCCCCGCCCCCGGCGTGCAGCGCGCGGGCCCGCTCCGGCGGTCTGCGCACGCGTTGGGGACATGCTGTCCTGCGGCAGTAGTGAGCGTCATCGAGGTCGCTAGTCCGGCTTGGTGGCTCAGGCCGGCGATTCCCGCACTCAGGGAGGCTGCGGCAGGAGGATCACTTGAAGCCACGAGTTTAAGACCAGCCTGGACAACGGAGTGAGACCCCATCTGTTCAGAAAATGTTTCTAAAAATTAGGGGGGGCTTGGTGGCGGGCGCCTGTAGTCCCAGCCCCTCGGGAGGCTCAGGCAGGAGGATCGCGTGAGTCCAGGAGTGTGAGGTTGCCATGAGGCCACGGCACTCTACCCAGGGCGACAGAGTGAGACTCTGTCTCAAGGAAAGTCCGAGTTAGTGCCCTGCACCCCGAGGCGCTGGAAAGGAGGCGACTAGTCCTCGAAGTGGCGGTTGGAGGCGAGTACACGGTGCAGGGGCCTCTGTGGGCCCCAGACGCCGCCTTTGAATACTGACATTTTAATCGCGGTTATACCAACGTTGACGGGTTACCATGGAAGGAGTATTTCTGAAACAAATATGTAAGCCCGTGTGATTCCTGGGTTTTTTATTTTTTTAAACAGCACTTAAATCTTTTCCATTGTTCTCCCATTTTTGTCATTTTTCAGAAATTCTCACTGTGATCAGTTCTTTGCGTTCTGAGCAGAACAGAACTTTTTGCGGAAAAGAAAGCTAAGCAAACAGGGCCAGAGGTAACATTTCCATCACCTGCTGCTTTCCAGCTGGAGGCTTCCACCTCCCTTGAATTCCACCACGCCCCTGGGGATGTGATTTCAATTTGATTTGTCTATCAGGATTTGTTTTCTTTTTTTTGGCCATATAAAATTGTTACTTCTTATTTCTGCTTTTGTGTTTCTTTTTGTTGCCATTATTTCTGGCTAGCTGGTTGTTCCTTAGTGTTATATGAGGAATCTAAATGTCAAGATGATTTTATAGTTATGTCAAGTTATAGTCCCACAATACGTTATTTTTGCCAGGTTTTTTTTCAGGCAAATCTAATAAGTGGGATTTTTTTTGCAATTTTCAACATTAGCAACAAGATGGAGTTTTGTCATTTTTTTTAAATCAATAACAAGCGTATCATGTGTTAATGAAAGTTTGACTTTTGGATTATTTCTACCAGAAATGTTAATACAAGGAGTTGGATAAAATGCTAATTGTTTTCTGAGGCATTATTAGGGGAGACTTGGGATCTGAAATAATAATAATAATAATTTTTTTTTTTGAGACAGAGCCTCAAGCTGTCACCGTGGGTAGAGTTCTATGGCATCACAGCTCACAGGAACCTCCAACTCCTGGGCTCAAGCAATTCTCCTGCCTCTGCCTCCCAAGTAGCTGGGACTACAGGCACCCACCACAACGCCCGGAGGATCTGACATAATTATCTTTAACAAAAAACATTTGCCACTTGCCTGTAAGTTTCCTGGCTGTATTACTCCCCTTCTGGGAATATACAATAAGAGGTTATAAACTGTATTCAAAACTAGAACAATATGTCCTGGAACAAATGGCAGTAACAAAACCTGCTTGACTCCAAAACTCTGCTCTTATGAAAATATCCTGGCATTTGTTTTCTTTTTTGCTACCGGGAAGAGAGTAGAATAGCTGTGCTGTGCTTTAGCAAAAAGATCACTGAATTGTGAGCCATGAAGTCTGGAACTAGCACTAACTAGCTGTGCAACTTTGGAGAAGTCACTTAAACTCTTTAGGCCTCCACTTTTTATATGCCAGCATTATTAGTCTTGAAGAAGACAGGGGAGGCCTCCTTTTATTTTTTTTTTATTTTTTTATTTTTTTTGAGACAGAGCCTCAAGCTCTCCCCCTGGGTAGCGTGCCGTGGCATTACAGCTCACAGCAACCTCCAACTCCTGGGCTCAAGCGAGTCTCCTGCCTCCGCCTCCCAAGTAGCTGGGACCACAGGCGCCCGCCACAACGCCCGGCTATTTTTTGGTTGCAGCCGTCATTGTTGTTTGGCGGGTCCAGGCTGGGGATTCAAACCCGCCACCTTAGGTGTACGTGGCTGGCGCCTTAGCCGGTTGAGCTATAGGCGCGGAGCCTTCCTTTTATTTTTTATTTATTTGAGACAGAGTTTCACTGTGTTGCCCTTGGTAGAGTGCTGTGGCATCACAGCTCACAGCAACCTCAAACTATTGGGCTTAAGTGATTCTCTTGCCCCAGCCTCCCAAGTAGCTGGGACTACAGGTTCCCACTATAACGCCTGGCTATTTTTTGTTGTTGTTGTTGTTATTCCTGCAGTTGTCGTTGTTTAGCAGGCCCGGGCAAGGTTGGAACCCAACAGCCTCAGTGTATGTGGCCAGCGCCCTAACCACTGAGCCATGGGCACCAAGCCAAGGCCTCCTTTCATAAAATTCATATTCAAATATGGTGGGTGATGTAAACCAGTAGTCATTTTAGGTAATGATCAAGTCCTAGTAATAGAATAAAACTGGACAGTGTGATAGAACCTGAGCATAAGAGCCCTATAGATAAGGTGATGGTGGACACCTGTCAGAATGTGACATTTGGTCTCAGTCTTGACTAATGAGAAGGAACCAGCCATGTGAAGAGACTAGCCAGAGTAAATATCAGACCCTACAACAGTAATGAGTTTGACATTTTTTAAAAAACAGGAATGGCCCATGTGGCTAGAATATAATGAGGAACACAGAGAAATATGAAATAATTGTAGAGGAACATATTCATTAGTGCCAGATACATCACTGTAGACATGATTAAAATATCAGTAAGGAGGATGGTGCCTGTGGCTCAAAGGAGTAGGGTGCCAGCCCCATATGCCAGAGGTGGCAGGTTCAAACCCAGCCCTGGCCAAAAAAAAAAAATCTGTAAGGAGGGGAGTGCCTATGGCTCAAAGGAGGAGGGTGCTGGCCCCATGTACTAGAGGTTGTGGGTTCAAACCTGGCCCCGGCCAAAAACTGCAGAAAAAATAAATAAAACAAAAAAAAAATATATATATATATATATATGTGTGTGTATATATATATCTGTAAGGTCAGAATTCCACTCTTAAGAAAGTCTGAAGGAAAAGAGGAGCTGACAGAGGTCAACCACCAGAGGTCCTATTAAATACCACACTGCAGAGTGCAAAGAACCTTTATGGCAACACGATCAAAACTAATTGCTTTTGGCTCGGCGCCTATAGCTCAACCGGCTAAGGCGCCAGCCATGTACACCTAAGGTGGCGGGTTCAAATCCCCAGCCTGGACCCGCCAAACAACAATGACAGCTGCAACCAAAAAATAGCCGGGCGTTGTGGCGGGCGCCTGTGGTCCCAGCTGCTTGGGAGGCGGAGGCGAGAGACTTGCTTGAGCCCAGGAGTTGGAGGTTGCTGTGAGCTGTGATGCCATGGCACTCTACCCAGGGGGACAGCTTGAGGCTCTGTCTCAAAAAAATAAAATAAAAATAAAAAAACTAATTGCTTTTAAAATTTATTTCCTGGGCTCAGTGCCTATAGCTCAAGCAGATGAGGTGCCAGCCACATACACCAGAGCTACGTGTTGAAATCTAGCCCGGGCCTGCCAAACAACAATGATAACTACACCCAAAAAATAGCTGGGTGTTGTGATGGGTGCCTGTAGTCCCAGCTACTTGGGAGGCCGAGGCATGAGAATCACTTGCGCCTAGGAGTTGGAGGTTGATGTAGGCTGTGATGTCACAGCACTCTACCCAGGGCGACAGCTTGAGTCTCTTGTTTTAAAAAAAAAATTCATTTCTTCAGGCTTTGCGCCCATAACGCAGTGAGGAGGGTGCCAGCTGGCCATATACACTGAGGCTGGCGGGTTCAAGCCTGGCCCAGGCCTGCTAAGCAGCAATGACAACTGCAACTAAAAAAAAGAAAAGAAAAAAAACAGCCAGACTTCATGGTAGGCACCTGTAGAGAATCGCTTAAGCCCAAGAGCTTGAGGTTGCTGTGAACTGTGATATTACAGCAGTCTACTGAAGACAACATAGTGAAACTGTCTCAAAAAAAAAAAATTCATTTCCTCAGTTACAGTAGCCACATTGCAGGTTTGTGACTAGTGGTTACCATACTAGCACAGACATAGAATGTTGTCATTGTCATCACTACAGATAGTTCTATTGGATAGTGCTGTATTAGATTATTTATCAAAAAGCCCTATTCTAAAAGCATTCAATCCTTTAGTCTTGAAGAATCTCAAAATTTCTCCCAAATCTTGTCTAAGGAAGGACTAGGCACTCCATTTCAAGCATTATGACAGACTAAACTGAAAACAAGTTGGCTACAAAACACCTAAACTTTCTGGATGCAAATTATAAAATATCCTTTTAGTTCCATTGCTGAGCTCTGAAGAGAATAAAATCTTCCGAAACCAAAAAAGATGTGGAAGCTTGAACCGATAGAGTGGCAAGTGGATTTTGAAGCTGAAATTAAAAGAGTGACTACAGATCTAGAAATCTAGTACGTGGTTCGAGGCAAGGGAGACAAGACCCAGGCTTATGCACGAAGGAGTTGGAACAGAGAACTTCCCATAGAGCTAAGATTGCTGAAGGGCTGCGCCCTCAATGAAAGGTCTGTTAACAACAAAAGCTACCCTGCTAAAGGAGAAGAAATTACTAGGAAACTTTGCCTCAACCTTTGCTCCAGAGGGAAGAAAAAACATCTCAATTTATAACCACAGTTGAGTGTTCATGAAGACTTAAGATTTATAATTGCATACATCATTCAGGAAATACATGCTAAAAAATCTACTTAAACTGGTCTTACAGTCTTTTTTTTTTTTTTTTTTTTTTTTTTGAGACAGGGTCTTGCTGTTGCCCAGGTTAGGGTATGGTAGTATGGTAGTATGGTAGCTCATTGCAGCCTTGAACTCTTGGGCTCAGGAAATGATCATGCGTCAACCTCCCCAATAGCTAGGATTACAGGTTTATAGCACCACACCTAGGAAATTTTTCATATATATATATATATATATTTTTTTTTTTTTTTTTTTTTTTAAAGAGAGATAAGGTCTTGCTATATTGCCTAGGCTGTTCTGGAACTCCTGGGCTTTTACCTCAGCCTCCCAAAGTGCAGGGATTACAGTCATGCACCAGCACACCTGGCTATCATCTCATAATATTGACTGCTTGCTTAATACAAAATTGACTATAGAAGAAATGGAAAATTTGAGTAGATTTGTAGTTCTTTTAACACATTGAAATTGTAGTTATAAATTTTACAGTAAAGAAAATGCTGGACTCAGGGTCTGAAAGTAGTAAATTACCTCACTTGTATGTTCATAGTAAGTTATAGATTTAACTTCTATTTCCCACCTGAGTACTGCACATGACTAGTCTTAAGAAAAGGAAAGGAATAGAAAAGCTGGGCTCAAATGGTTTTATAGATGACTTCAAGGAACAATTAATTCCAAGCTTAAATTCTTCAAATAGGAAAAAAGGACTATTCCCCAACTATTTTATAAAACTAGTATAACTTGGCTCGGGGCCTTTGGCTCAAGCGGCTAAGGCGCCAGCCACATACACCTAAGGTGGTGGGTTCAAATCCAGCC